GACCGCCCCGATACCAGCCTGTCTCTCAGCCCAGTGGCCTGCAGTCAGCACAAACCAGCTTCCAGTCTGTGCCCCCAACTAGTGGCCTGCAGTCAGCACAAGCCAGCTATCAGTCTATGTAACAGCCTAGTGGCCAAAAACCAGGACTGACCCGATACCAGCCTGTCTCTCAGCCCAGTGGCCTGCAGTCAGCACAAACCAGCTTCCAGTCTGTGCCCCCAACTAGTGGCCTGCAGTCAGCACAAGCCAGCTATCAGTCTATGTAACAGCCTAGTGGCCAAAAACCAGGACTGACCCGATACCAGCCTGTCTCTCAGCCCAGTGGCCTGCAGTCAGCACAAACCAGCTTCCAGTCTGTGCCCCCAACTAGTGGCCTGCAGTCAGCACAAGCCAGCTATCAGTCTATGTAACAGCCTAGTGGCCAAAAACCAGGACTGACCCGATACCAGCCTGTCTCTCAGCCCAGTGGCCTGCAGTCAGCACAAACCAGCTTCCAGTCTGTGCCCCTACCTAGTGGCCTGCAGTCAGCACAAACCAGCTACCAATCGGAGTCCCAACCCAGTGGCCCACAGTCAGTACAAACCAGGTACCCGTCTTTACCCCAACCTAGTGCTCTGCAGTCAGCAAAAACCAGCTACCAATCAGCACAAGCTCACTACCAGTTTGTGCCCCGGCCTGATGGCCAAAAACCAGGACCAATCCAATACCAGCCTGTCTCTCAGCCCAGTGGCTTGCAGTCTGCACAAGCCAGCTACCAGTCTATGCAACATCCTAGTGGCCAAAAACCAGGACTGACCCGATACCAGTCTGTCTCGCGACCCAGTGGCCTGCAGTCATCACAAACCAACTACCAGTCAGCACAAGCTCACTACCAGTCTGTGTCCCAGCCCAGTGGACAGTCTGTGTCTCTTCAACCTGGATTCCAGCTCCCTTCTATGCCAGAGCAGTCAAGTTATGTGTCTCTTTCCAGTTTTGGTTCCCAACCCCTAGAGCAACCCAGTAATGTACAACTTGCTTCAAGCTATGAGTCTGTGTTGCAGCCTGACCTTCAGGATACAGCACCACTGTGCTCCCAGACTACTCAAAACGAGCGCTTCTCACCTGGCACGTTGAGGCTGTTGCAGCAAGTGAAGTCATAGGAGTCATGAATTTGTGTGTTTTTTTTTTGTTTTTTTTAAACAATAAATATCACAAACATGGTTTTTGTGTTGGCTGGGTTCTCTTTCGGTCATCTAAATCAGCAAGGGTTTTAATGTGGTCTACTGCTGTAGTAATATTTAATGTTAGGTGTATGGTGTCTTCTAGAAAAAGGGGGGAGGGGGAAGAAACACTTGTCTACTGGATGTTTAACATGTTTGACCGGAGAAGTTCTGTTGGCACATTTACCTCATCTTCAGTTTTCTTTGCTTGGTGTTCTCTCTCTGTGGTTATGTAATCAGTTTCAAAGTTTGAATTCTTTTAAGAGCTCTTTGTACTGATTACATCTGCTTGGGTCAAGGCGTCGCAGGCTGGTTATGCAAAAATCATGGGTAACTAGTTTCTGTGTCCTCTACAGGTTGGTTGTACATTGACATCATTAGTGGGCGTTTCTCCAGTTGCTTGTCGTTGTGTGCATATAAATCCTAAAGTCCTTGCTTTCAACTGCTTTTATTTCCGTCATATCCTAAGAGGTAAATGTTTTTACAAAGTCAAACAGCAGTTTTAATGACGTTTGAACAAATGGGATGAGTCCCTGAACAGAGAGGGCTGTCAATTTCAAAAGTTACAGTAAGTATCTTGTGTAGCCACTGGCTGCTTCAAGCACTACAGTGCATCACATCCTCATGGACATGGAGATTTGCCAGTTCTCGCTGTGAGATATTACCCCACTTTTCCACCAAGGCACTTGCAAGTTCTCAAATGCGTCTGTGGACGCATGGTTTGCCATTGCAAGAATGATCAGCTGTCCTTGTCTCCCTGTAGCACTGTCTTATAGGCCTCTTACAGTACATTATGTACATTGCAGTTTATTGCTCTGGCCACATAAACAGTCCTCATGTCTCCTTGCAGCAGGACTATGGCATGTTCGACCGGATGATCAGGGACCCTGGACATCTATCTTCTGTAATCTAACTTTTTTTTTTTGGTGGGGGGGG